CTGCTTCAGTTCATTTTGCTTTTTTTTTCCAATCCCTCCCTAACGGAGCTCTCTTAAAAACACTTTGCCATCTACTTCCTTCCCAGCCCTTCAAAACATTGCACTGAATAAATGCAAGTCCTCCTTTAGGTCAAAAAGCCACCTGAAATCCTCCCGTCCTTGCCCCAGCCTCTGTCTCTTGGCCTTTTCTCATATGTAATTTAAGCCTTTAAAATCTCTTACAAAATTGGAATCAAATACTCAAAATGAAGTTGCCAACATTTGGGGAAAAGTCAGGCAGAAGGTGAGGGAACTGTGGGTAAATCTGTGCTTACCATTTGAGGTTAAAATCAAAGTAGCTTTTTGCCTCGGAACAAATATTCTTCCAAAGCTCCTGAGGGGTCATGCTAGCCCATGCAGTGTTATCAGCATTTCCAAGGTTCCTGTTTTTCCTTTTCTTGTTCTTCTTCTTGGAGACTAGCTCATCAGCTGGAAGATGGGCAATTGGATTTGGGAAGGAGCTTAGGAAGCAATTGAGGAAGTGGCTGATGGCTGCCGATAAGCCCGACAGCTCTACACCCTGCAGCAAGACACTGAAGTTAGTCAAGGGGGAACATTTCTATGTTACAGATCTGTTGATCCAACCTTGATACTACTAGAAATCCAGACCAATCTGTCCTGTGAATACCATCATGGTGCCTGACTGAGGCAGAGGGAAGTTTGTAGGAGGGCATTTCTCAGAACAAAATCAGAGCTGAAGTTCTGCATGTAAAAATCATTCATGATTTCTCTCATACTCGCTCACCTCCTGCCCACGTTCTGTACAGTTACTTGGGATACAGACTGTCATATTGAACACTCACAAAACGGTTTTTTTTTGTTTCTGGAAAAAAGCCAAATGCATTGCTACATGTCCTTGAGTTCATATAGTAAACAAGCTTTTTAGGGGGGCAAATGCACCGATGTTTGCCTAAAAGGACTAAGTGTTTTACAAGGAAGGCGAACTGTGAGTTCACTCTTAAAAGCCTTTAACATAACAAGTGAAATTCTGGGGAAGAAAAGCATGAATGATTATCCTCTGGGGGAGTTGCCTTCAAGTGGGAACCTGTTTTCCCTCATATGTGGGTCTGCACCTATTTTAGTCCTAATGAGACTGTACTTCCAGTTGCTAGGCAACATCCATGATCTATCTAATGAGGAAACAGATTTGAACAGCTACCCACTTCTGAAAAATCATTAGAGAGAACATGCAAGGCAAGAGGTCAGACTGCCACTCACTCATACCTGAAGGTACGTCTTGAAGATGTGTTTGGCTGATCGAGTGATCAATTCACCGAGTCCAATTTTCTATCCAAAGAGCAGAAAGTCAGTCAATGGAGACAAAGAAACAAACCTTTTCCTTTTAGATGTGCTGCTATCGATGCACCTATGCAGAGGAAATACGGTTCTGCAAGCCCCTCTTCACACAGTAAGCCTTACTCTAACACGGTATTTGGACTGCAAGGTTGGGAAGATGCGTGTGGAGGTGTTGCTTTATCCGATGGGACTTTGCTTGGCGTCTGGTGCCTCTTGGGATTACAGTAAAATACCAGACATCCCCAACCAACAGGACCGACATTCTTACTGTTCACAATGGACCGGGCGGTGGAACCAGACCCCAGCTCAAACACCACAGCCCATTGTAACAGGCAGTCCATTTGGACCTTGCAAGCACTGTGTGGCCTGCAACGTGCAGTCTCTGGCCCAGCAGGCAGTGGCTTTCACACCCTTAGACTCCCAGAGCCCTTCACAGATTCATCCTCCCTGCTCACATGTCTAAGCATGTAGAGCAAACCAGCTCCCCTGCTAAGCACGGGTTGCTGTCTGAAGCCTCACTGTTTTATTATTATTATTTTTGAAGTGCAGAATGCAATTAGCCAAGTTGGATTTTGGCCAGGACAAATTATCCCAGCGGCAGTGGAAGTGACAGCCTGAAACAAAGGCCAGCGCTTACAAAGACGTGATCCAGCTGTGCATGGGCAGGGGTGTTGGTGATGAAGTCGACAACTTTGCCTAGGTAGCGCATGTTGATGCCCCTCTGGTGCATAGCTTCTGCTAACGTGGCGCCGTCCATCGGGAGCACAGTGTGGTCAAGACAGTCTTTGACCTGCAGAGCACAGCCTGGCTTAGTTCTACGTGGTTTGTCGTACACAGAAGAAAAACACTTGCTGAAAGCATCTTTTTCAGGTTAAGGACAAGGGGGTGGGGAAGAGAGTCAGTAGCCATGAGAGGTTATTCAGGGTTGAGAGGATCTCTTTTGAATGTCTGGCCCCATCACCTCAGGGGGTTACTTCATGAGGTGGTGGGTCACACTTCAGGTAAAGCAATGGTCCTCAGCCTCAGACAAGATCCTCAGTGGCTCCACCCATGAGACTAATGCCTCCACTTAAAACACTCTTGCCAAAAATACAATTACTGCAATCCATTCCCTTAACACGAGCCTAGAGACAATTAATCCAGCTTTCCTACTATGCAGGAGCTAATTGTTCCTCCTTTCTTGCTCTCTGACTGCTAATTCAGAGTCCAAGTGGGATCTTTGAGCAACGACAAGACTGCGTGAGAATGCATAGTGCCCGTTGAAGAGGCCACGCTACCTGGAGCGGGACTTGCCAGTTCCAGTATAAAACTGCAATGCTCTATGGCACAGGTTAACTGGGGGCACATGTACCCCTGGGATACTTGGAAAGGGGCTAGGGGATATGCATGGCTGGGTGGGGACAGAGCACTGCCACCTACCACCCCACGCCACTGGCTCCCAGAAGCAGCGT